AGAAACTGACAATCCAACAACAGAAAATGTAGAAGAACCATCACCTACCGTAGAAGAAACTGACAATCCAACAACAGAAAATGTAGAAGAACCATCACCTACCGTAGAAGAAACTTACAATCCAACAACAGAAAATGTAGAGGAACCATCACCTACCATAGAAAAAAAGGACAATCCAACAACAGAAAATGTAGAAGAACCATCACCTACCGTAGAAGAAACTGACAATCCAACAACAGAAAATGTAGAAGAACCATCACCTACCGTAGAAGAAACTGACAATCTAACAACAGAAAATGTAGAAGAACCATCACCTACCGTAGAAGAAATGGGCAATCCAACAACAGAAAATGTAGAAGAACCATCACCTACCGTAGAAGAAACTGACAATCCAACAACAGAAAATGTAGAAGAACCATCACCTAACGTAGAAGAAACTTACAATCCAACAACAGAAAATGTAGAGGAACCATCACCTACCATAGAAAAAAAGGACAATCCAACAACAGAAAATGTAGAAGAACCATCACCTACCGGAGAAGAAACTGACAATCCAACAACAGAAAATGTAGAAGAACCATCACCTACCGTAGAAGAAACTGACAATCCAACAACAGAAAATGTAGAAGAACCATCACCTACCGTAGAAGAAACTGACAATCTAACAACAGAAAATGTAGAAGAACCATCACCTACCGTAGAAGAAATGGGCAATCCAACAACAGAAAATGTAGAAGAACCATCACCTACCGTAGAAGAAACTGACAATCCAACAACAGAAAATGTAGAAGAACCATCACCTAACGTAGAAGAAACTTACAATCCAACAACAGAAAATGTAGAGGAACCATCACCTACCATAGAAAAAAAGGACAATCCAACAACAGAAAATGTAGAAGAACCATCACCTACCGGAGAAGAAACTGACAATCCAACAACAGAAAATGTAGAAGAACCATCACCTACCGTAGAAGAAACTGACAATCCAACAACAGAAAATGTAGAAGAACCATCACCTACCGTAGAAGAAACTGACAATCCAACAACAGAAAATGTAGAAGAACCATCACCTACCATAGAAAAAAAGGACAATCCAACAACAGAAAATGTAGAAGAACCATCACCTACCGTAGAAGAAACTGACAATCCAACAACAGAAAATGTAGAAGAACCATCACCTACCGTAGAAGAAACTGACAATCCAACAACAGAAAATGTAGAAGAACCATCACCTACCGTAGAAGAAACTGACAATCCAACAACAGAAAATGTAGAAGAACCATCACCTACCGTAGAAGAAACTGACAATCCAACAACAGAAAATGTAGAAGAACCATCACCTACCATAGAAGAAACTGACAATTCAACAACAGAAAATGTAGAAGAACCATCACCTACCGTAGAAGAAACTGACAATCCAACAACAGAAAATGTAGAGGAACCATCACCTACCGTAGAGTTAAGTACAGCACATGACAAGCACACACCTACTACAGTTAGCCCAGAGACTGAAACTCCACCCACAAAAACGACCCAAGAAACAAATAATCAACCAACAGAATGTGTACACGTATCTTTACCCACTACAGAAAGCTTGAAGACAGAACATGAAACTGACTTTCCAGTTTTGCCAGTTTGCAAAGGATTGGTCCATCGCACTGATGCTGGGATAAGTCACTGTAGGGAGAGGATGAGTTGGAAACCAGGGAAGAGATCAAATGAGATAAGTGCCTCAGACAATATATCAAGAAAACTACTCTACATCACAATCACCCAAGAGACAACAGATCCAAGCGCAGAATCACTGACCATATCTGAGGATGAGACAGAGGACGGAGATCCTAGTACAGACAATAACAACCCGTCCCATCCACCCAGCAATGACAAAGATGAACATTTGTACTACTCTAATGGAAAGCTGAAGAGAGTTCAAAATAACATAAATCCTAAGGAGGGCGCTACAGACACTGTACCAGGAGAAGTCACTGAGGCCCCAGAAACAACAGACCCAGGCCCAGAATCAGCAACCATATGTGTGGATGAGACAGAGGATGGAGGTCCTAGTGAAATCAGCCAACCAGATGGAAAAGAGTATCACAAGGAGCATGAATCAATTACAGACAATAACAACCCATCCAGCGATGACAATGATGGACATTTTTACTACTTTAACGGAAAGCTGAAGAAAGTCCGAAATAACTTCTATCCTAAGGTGGCCGATATGTTAAATCCACACATCAGCCTTAGCTCCAAAATCGCTGAAGGGGAAATGAATGTCAAAAGTATATCTGATTCTCTGGTCTCACAGGAGAAAAGAGACTTAACATCTGGGGAAAGTCTCAGAAGAAATAAACGCAATACTTCAAGTGGTCATCATTACCATTCTGACCCATCAGGTAGTGTCAAAATGAGGCTGATGAATGCTGATGTGATGTCTCAAAATGTCCACACAGAGAGAACAGAGAGTCAAACCAAGTTTGAGATGCTAGAGCCAACCACAGCATCCAAATCAGATAGAGAGATCAACAAACACAAAGAGAGAACAGAGCTATCCTCTGAGATACAAGTAAACACAATCCATGACAAACAGTCAGTGAATCTGGCTCTGGCCATGCCTCAGGGCCACAATGCCTCTCAGTTGGACAAAAAGTTGCCTAGAACCCAACCAACTGGACAGCAGACTTTGTTGAAGTCACATGATGGCTCAGAGCCCAATGGACAGACGCTAAAGACAACCCTCTGCCAAGGCCTAATTCACCGTGGGGGATCTGTGACATACTGCTTATGGAGGAACTACCGTTACAAGGCCCGGAGAAAGCATCTCCACAATGATACTCCGGCCACCAAGGGCCAACAGGACTCAGGAGACAATAAACCTCACACCTGGAGGCCTAAGGAGAGTGATAACCGTGTCACCATGACCCCAATTCCCTCTCAACTAGACCAGACAGATATCACAGATATCAACACCTCTGAAGACCCAGGTTTGGCAGGTGACACCTCAGGGGCATTGATAGTTAAAACAGCAGATGAACTCAGGGGCAGAGGAAAAGTCCTGACAATCCTCCGTAGCCATTCTTTGCTCATGGATGGCTTTCGTATTTGCAGGGGTCTTGTGAGTCGACAAACCATGTCCCTGAAGAGATGTGTTGTTAGAATGAGACAGAAGACAAATGTCAACAATCAGCTCTCTCAAGCTATTACAACAATGTGAAAAGTATGATGGAAGCCCTGGAGAAGTCCACTCATCTGGCCAAACTAAACAAAAGTGTGTATAGCAACATAAGGATGTAAAGATTTTCTAGTAAATTACACTACATTACCAAAGGTATGTGGACACCTGCTATGGATGCAAACACAATTGTTACAAAACTGGCTTTTTGATAGCTGTCCGTTTGGGCAGGTAGACTAAATATTATTGTCACTCTGTCCCTTTCTCTCGCAAGAGGAGTTCAGCCCACAGTTTATTGATCTGAAAAAACATTTACAGAGAATCCATCTCCAGTTGATCATTGATGGCTCTGACAGAAAGCAGTCACTAATATAAAAAGAACAAGAGGAGGCTATTGAAAGCTATGCGGCAGTATGCCTGTAATATAATTACATCTCTAATATTTAATAATGATAAGAATCTAGGTCTAATTAATAAAACATGATCTCATATGCCTCAAATGTTTTAAGTCTGAAATTAATCATAGCAAATAAATAAATCAATAACACTCTTAGGATAAGAATTACGTTTTAATAAAATTCAATAATATGTCATTTTAGTGAACAAAATGCTCATCTATTATGGCGTTGAATGAGACTTATATCATTCTCATTGTTGTAGTAAGAGAGTAAAAAGTATTCAATTCATACCATTCATGTTAATTCTCAGTCTTATATAATTTGTAACAAGTAGCCTAGCCTCAAGAGCTACAGGTTCTGTCCTCAAGCTCATTGTGGCCAGTTGTAAATACAAAGTTATTTTTGAATTTCAACAGCCGCTTGGTAAAATGAAGGCTGGGTAAATGCAGCCACTCTCAAATGACAGAAAAAACTAACAGTGGTGTAATACAGCCTAAATTGTGGGTTAGGTTTGGGTGAAACAGTGGAGGCATATTGTTCAAGACTCTGTGGGTACCATTGAACATTGGGACATCTAACAGATTATGGCTTCAATGCATCACGACATAGATGATATAAGACTAAGAAAAGCTAGAGCACGGAACACTGATGGGGGTGGGGGCCGAACAAAATCTGAACTCATCATGAGGGGCTGCAGTGGCTCACGGGTCTGCGTACCCACATCCATACCCACACATGCAGTCAGAGCCATCCCTAACCTTTTGGGGCCCCTAAGTGACATTTCTTACAGCTAATTTCCTGCAATTCTACACATTTTGCCATAGGGTAGAGAGAAATGGTTGCAGTTTTTTATATGATATCTGAGTGAGAGAGACTAACAAAATCAATGGGTGCCCTTTGACCATGATCACTACAAGTTTATATAGCTGGCTAGACTAATTTACCATGTTAGCTGACATGGGACATGACTTATGCCATGTTAATGATATCTGAGTAAGAGTGACTGAGAAAATCAATGGGGGCCCCCTGGAGGTCAGGGCCCCTGGGCATGTGCCCTGTGTACCTATTGGTATTCGGCCATGAATTACTACAAGTTAAAACTTACCAAAAAACATAACAAGAGAAAAACTGCTGATGCACAACCAAATTTCGAAATTGCACCTTGTGTATTCTAATATTCTAACTCTCAACAGTAAGTTGAGACCCTGCCAATTGCCCATCCCTGAGCTAGAGCCTATCCACTTGAGAGCTTCTGTTAAGCCAGCATATCATAATTATTAGTCAATTAGTAATGCATTTACATTTCGATTCAGACGTTGGTTAAAATACTATGGACATTTATAGAGTTCTCTGCATATGGCTCTGAAATGTAGTGCAGTTAGTATACTGTACATCATTGAAAGGTACTGTTAATAATTGCTATAATTAACATGACAATTATCGCCAGGTGGAGAAGAGCAGTGTAGTTGTAAACATCTCTTACCATTGTCCTTTGTGACCTTTCAGAATGCAAAGTGATTTCTGAGAAATCAACAGGAATGTGGATCAACGGGAAGGAATATTAACGAGATCTAGCCTAGTCAACAACACATTGCATCAGAGTATCAAAACACCTGAACGTTCTGAACGTTCCCACAGATACTTCATCAACACTTCTGCAATGGTTGCATCTGCAGTTTTTTTTTCTCCAACTGAGTCCTAAAGTGGGAGGCTGAGTTGTATGGTCACAGGTAGAACCACTCCCTGTTCATTTGCAACTATTGGGACTCCGATAGACTCACCAAGCACCCTGTTCTAGCCCCCAATTATACTGCATAATCCCTGAATCACTCCTTTAGCAGCGACACACTGTGTGAAGAAACACACTGAAAGCCACAGCATAAAAGCCCTGAGAGATCAGCGTTAGGTAGGAACAGGAAAAGAAGGGGAGCTATATGAGGAGAGGACATAGGTTGATGCGGCTTATCCACAGGGTACCATTATCACCTATCGGTTACCTAACTCTCTCAGTTGAAGGGCTATTCAATCAAACCCACATTGCAGTATTTGCGCCTTGTCATATATGTTATGTTACATACCTTTTTCCTGTGGTCAAACAGGTTTCGCTTGCAATAGATTTAATCTCAGCCAACCTGGATTAATATATGTTAAATAAGAATAAAAGAAAGGGAGAATGGTTTTGGGTACTGTAAAGACTTGACTTCCCTCAATAAGATGATGCTAGTTTTCAGAATAAGACAGGTGTGGGCTCAGGCAGTAGTTTGTAAACACTCCATACAAATTACTAACACAGCTGTGATTCAATCTGGGCTTTATTAATCAACCTTTCCCACTCAGTTGCCAGTCTCAGTACCTTTGCCTGACAGAGAGAGACAGCCCGAAGGTCTAAGGACTTAGAACAAAGCATAATTCTTCCCCTGTCCCCGTCCCTGTCCCCCCCATCGCCCCCCCAATCCCACCCTGCTTGCTCCAACCAATGTTACTGCCATCGTGGGACAACCAGGTCTCCTATCTAAAAAATACTTTCATCCCAATGAGGATCGCCTGTATAAATACAGACTAACCACAACCGAGGCAGTTCATCCAGCAGTTCTCCATCACTCCTCTGGTGTCTGTGCCTAGGCTGCCCACCCCACTGCAGCCCCTGTTCAGGTTGCTCTACCTGGTGATCTTTGGCCTGGCTGTGGTGGGCAACATAGCCGTTCTGGTACTGCTGTGTAAGAGGAAGGCCCTGCAGTCGCCCAGCACCTTCTTCATCTGCACCCTGGCCCTCAGTCACCTCCTACCCGCCACCCTGCTGCAGCACTTCTTCACCACCTGGCTGGCAGGTACACTCCGGTCCAAAGTTTTAGAACACCTACTCATTCAAGGTTTATTTTTTATTTTTACTATTTTCTACATTGTAGAATAATAGTGAAGACATCAAAACTATGAAATAACACATATGGAATCATGTAGTTAAACAAATCAAAATGTATTTTATATAAATATAGCCACCCTTTGCCCTGATGACAGCTTTGCACACTCTTGGCATTCTCTTAACCAGCTTCACCTGGAATGCTTTTCCAACAGTCTTGAAGGAGTTCCCACATATGCTGAGCACTTGTTGGCTGCTTTTCCTTCACAAATCATCTCAATTTGGTTGAGGCCGGGGGATTGTGGAGGCCAGGTCATCTGATGCAGCACTCCATCGCTCTCCTTCTTGGTAAAATAGCCCTTACACAGCCTGGAGGTGTGTTGGGTCATTGTCCTGTTGAAAAACAAATGATAGTCCCACTAAGCCCAAACCAGATGGGATGGTGTATCGCTGCAGAGACATGGCGGTTGGAACCAAAAATCTCAAATTTGGACTCCAGACCAAAGGACACATTTCCACCGGTCTAATGTCCATTGCTCGTGTTTCTTGGCCCAAGCAAGTCTCTTCTTCTTATTGGTGTCCTTTAGTAGTGGATTCTTTGCAGCAATTCAACCATGAAGGCCTGATTCACACAATCTCCTCTGAACAGTTGATGTTGAGATGTGTCTGTGACTTGAACTCCGTGAAGCATTTATTTGCGCTGCAATTTCTGAGGCTGGTAACTCTAATGAACTCTGGGTCTTCCATTCCTGTGGTGGTCCTCATGAGAGCCAGTTTCATCATAGCGCTTGATGGTTTTTGCGACTGCACTTGAAGAAACTTTAAAAGTTCTTCACATTTTCCGGATTGACTGACCTTCATGTCTTAAAGTAATGATGGACTGTCATTTCTCTTCGCTTATTTGAGCTGTTCTTGCCATAATATGGACTTGATCTTTTACCAAATAGGGCTATCTTCTGTATACTCCCCGTACCTAGTCACAACACAACTGATTGGCTCAAATGCATTAAGAAGGAAAGAAATTCCACAAGTTAACTTTAAAGAAGGCACACCTGTTAATTCATGAAGCTGGTTGAGAGAATGGCAAGAGTGTGCAAAGCTGTCATCAAGGCAAAGGGTGGCTATTTGAAGAAACTCAAATATTAAATATATTTTGATTTGTGTAACACGTTTTTGATTACTACATGTTCCATATGTGTCATTTCATAGTTTTGATGTCTTATTCAACAATGTAGAAAATAGTAAAAATAAAGAAAAACCCTTGAATGAGTAGATGTTCTAAAACTTTGACCGGTAGTGTAGGTGGCGCAGCATGGGTGCACACATGAAGTAGTCAAAGTAGGTCATTCAACAATAGAATGAATGGGTTGTAAACGGGGGCATCAGTACTTCACCTTTCAGGGAAGGTGAGGACACTGCGTGATGCTAACTTGGCCATCTACACACACACACACACACACACACACACACACACACACATGCACACAATAACTGTTCATTGGGAGCTTCATGAAGTGGGTTTCCATGGCCGAGCAGCCGCACACAAGCCTAAGATCACCATGTGCAATGCCAAGATCACCCTGCGCAATGCCAAGCATCTGGCAGTCTGACGGATTAATCTGGGTTTGGCGGATGCCAGGAGAATGCTACTTGCCCCAATGCAAAGTGCCAACTGTAAAGTAGTGGAGGAGGAATACTGGTCTGGGGCAGTTATTCATGGTTCGGGCTTGGCCCCTTAGTTCTAGACGATTCTGTGCTTCCATCTTTGTGGCAACAGTTGGGGAAGGCCCTTTCTTGTTTTAGCATGACAATGCCCCCGTGTACAAAGCAAGGTTCTTACAGAAATGGTTTGTCAAGATCGGCGTGGAAGAACTTGACTGGCCTGCACAGAGCCCTGACCTCAACCCCATTTAAGACTTTTGGGATAAATTGGAACGCCGACAGCGAGCCAGGCCTAATCGCCCTACATCAGTGCCCGACCTCACAAATGCTCTTGTGGTTGACTGGAAGCAAGTCCCTGCAGCAGTGTTCCAACGTCTAGTGGAAAGCCTTCCCAGAAGAGTGGAGGCTTTTATAGCAGCAAAGGGGGGGACCAACTCTATATTAATGCCCATGATTTTGGAATGAGATGTTCAACATTTGGTCATGTAGTGTATCAACTACTGTACACTGTTTATACACACCACATATTTATATACTGGATTCTTGACATAGCTCACTGTAATATATCTACTGCTGTACATGTCATTCTTAGTTTATCTTTTTTGTGTATATACACATAGATTGCATTTGGATTACTGATAGAGTGTTATTTGGGGTTCTTAAATGGATTTGTTCCGACATTCTTGATTTCTGTTTATAGTTTTTGATTATTTGTGTACTTGTTTGACATTTTACTGCACTGTTAGGACACAAGCATTTCACCGCACCTGCTATAACATCTGCTTAACTGTGTACACAACCAATAAACTTTGATTTGATTATAAAATATTCAGATCTTAAGAGTGGTAACAGCTTGTGAGTCACAGAGAACTTTCAAAAGTTAATTTTTCTTGTTTTTCGAACTTGAGAGAAAGAAGAGGAGTTTTCAGTCTGTCTGTCTTAGTTATTAAAAAAATATATACAGTGGGGAGAACAAGTATTTGATACACTGCCGATTTTGCAGGTTTTCCTACTTACAAAGCATGTAGAGGTCTGTAATTTTTATCATAGGTACACTTCAAAATCCAGAAAATCACATTGTATGATTTTTAAGTAATTAATTTGCATTTTATTGCATGACATAAGTATTTGATACATCAGAAAAGCAGAACTTAATATTTGGTACAGAAACCTTTGTTTGCAATTACAGATATCATATGTTTCCTGTAGGTCTTGACCAGGTTTGCACACACTGCAGCAGGGATTTTGGCCCACTCCTCCATACAGACCTTCTCCAGATCCTTCAGGTTTCGGGGCTGTTGCTGGGCAATACGGACTTTCAGCTCCCTCCAAATAATTTCTATTGGGTTCAGGTCTGGAGACTGGCTAGGCCACTCCAGGACCTTGAGATGCTTCTTACGGAGCCACTCCTTAGTTGCCCTGGCTGTGTGTTTTGGGTCGTTGTCATGCTGGAAGACCCAGCCACGACCCATCTTCAATGCTCTTACAGAGGGAAGGAGGTTGTTGGCCAAAATCTTGCGATACATGGCTCCATCCATCCTCCCCTCAATACGGTGCAGTCGTCCTGTCCCCTTTGCAGAAAAGCATCCCCAAAGAATGATGTTTCCACTTCCATGCTTCACGGTTGGGATGGTGTTCTTGGGGTTGTATTCATCCTTCTTCTTCCTCCAAACACGGCGAGTGGAGTTTAGACCAAAAAGCTCTATTTCTGTCTCATCAGACCACATGACCTTCTCCCATTCCTCCTCTGGATCATCCAGATGGTCATTGGCAAACTTCAGACGGGCCTGGACATGCGCTGGCTTGAGCAGGGGGACCTTGCGTGCGCTGCAGGATTTTAATCCATGACGGCATAGTGTGTTACTAATGGTTTTCTTTGAGACTGTGGTCTCAGCTCTCTTCAGGTCATTGACCAGGTCCTGCCGTGTAGTTCTGGGCTGATCCCTCACCTTCCTCTTGATCATTGATGCCCCACGAGGTGAGATCTTGCATGAAGCCCCAGACCGAGGGTGATTGACCGTCATCTTGAACTTCTTCCATTTTCTAATAATTGCGCCAACAGTTGTTGCCTTCTCACCAGGCTGCTTGCCTATTGTCCTGTAGCCCATCCCAGCCTTGTGCAGGTCTACAATTTTATCCCTGATGTCCTTACACAGCTCTCTGGTCTTGGCCATTGTGGAGAGGTTTTATTGAGTGTGTGGACAGGTGTCTTTTATACAGGTAACGAGTTCAAACAGGTGCAGTTAATACAGGTAATGAGTGGAGAACAGGAGGGCTTCTTAAAGAAAAACTAACAGGTCTGTGAGAGCCGGAATTCTTACTGGTTGGTAGGTGATCAAATTCTTATGTAATGCAATAAAATGCAAATTAATTACTTAAAATTCATACAATGTGATTTTCTGGATTTTTGTTTTAGATTCCGTCTCTCACAGTTGAAGTGTACCTATGATAAAAATTATAGACCTCTACATGCTTTGTAAGTAGGAAAACCTGCAAAATCGGCAGTGTATCAAATACTTTAGTCAGCCACCAATTGTGCAAGTTCTCCCACTTAAAAAGATGAGAGAGGCCTGTAATTTTCATCATAGGTACACGTCAACTATGACAGACAAAATGAGAAAAAAAAATCCAGAAAATCACATTGTAGGATTTTTTATGAATTTATTTGCAAATTATGGAGGAAAATAAGTATTTGGTCAATAACAAAAGTTTCTCAATACTTTGTTATATACCCTTTGTTGGCAATGACACAGGTCAAACGTTTTCTGTAAGTCTTCACAAGGTTTTCACACACTGTTGCTGGTATTTTGGCCCATTCCTGCATGCAGATCTCCTCTAGAGCAGTGATGTTTTGGGGCTGTCGCTGGGCAACACGGACTTTCAACTCCCTCCAAAGATTTTCTATGGGGTTGAGATCTGGAGACTGGCTAGGCCACTCCAGGACCTTGAAATGATTCTTACGAAGCCACTCCTTCGTTGCCCGGGCGGTGTGTTTGGGATCATTGTCATGCTGAAAGACTCAGCCACGTTTCATCTTCAATGCCCTTGCTGATGGAAGGAGGTTTTCACTCAAAATCTCACGATACATGGCCCCATTCATTCTTTCCTTTACACGGATCAGTCGTCCTGGTCCCTTTGCAGAAAAACAGCCCCAAAGCATGATGTTTCCACCCCCATGCTTCACAGTAGGTATGGTGTTCTTTGGATGCAACTCAGCATTCTTTGTCCTCCAAACACGACGAGTTGAGTTTTTACCAAAAAGTTCTATTTTGGTTTCATCTGACCATATGACATTCTCCCAATCCTCTTCTGGATCATCCAAATGCACTCTAGCAAACTTCAGACGGGCCTGGCTTAAACAGGGGGACACGTCTGGCACTGCAGGATTTGAGTCCCTGGCGGCGTAGTGTGTTACTGATGGTAGGCTTTGTTACTTTGGTCCCAGCTCTCTGCAGGTCATTCACTAGGTCCCCCCGTATGGTTCTGGGATTTTTGCTCACCGTTCTTGTGATCATTTTGACCCCACGGGGTGAGATCTTGCGTGGAGCCCCAGATCGAGGGAGATTATCAGTGGTCTTGTATGTCTTCCATTTCCTAATAATTGCTCCCACAGTTGATTTCTTCAAACCAAGCTGCTTACCTATTGCAGATTCAGTCTTCCCAGCCTGGTGCAGGTCTACAATTTTGTTTCTGGTGTCCTTTGACAGCTCTTTGGTCTTGGCCATAGTGGAGTTTGGAGTGTGACTGTTTGAGGTTGTGGACAGGTGTCTTTTATACTTATAACAAGTTCAAACAGGTGCCATTAATACAGGTAACGAGTGGAGGACAGAGTAGCCTCTTAAAGAAGAAGTTACAGGTCTGTGAGAGCCAGAAATCTTGCTTGTTTGTATGTGACCAAATACTTATTTTCCACCATAATTTGCAAATAAATTCATGAAAAATCCTACAATGTGATTTTCTGTAAAAAAAATCTCAATTTGTCTGTCATAGTTGACGTGTACCTATGATGAAAATTACAGGCCTCTCTCATCTTTTTAAGTGGGAGAAATTGCACAATTGGTGGCTGACTAAATACTTTTTCCCCCCACTGTATATCCCACAGTTACCACACTATTTCTGTTTTCATCATTTTCAATGTCACATTGACCTCCTGTTGTTCCCTTGTAATGAACAGGGCCAGATTAATGCAAGGGCTTTCAGGCTCGTAGGGGGCCCAAGAGGCAAAACAATAAATAATGATATTATCTATACTGTATATTATATATGTCGTATATTTGTTTTTCTGCAATTCTACACATTTTGACGTCTTTTGCCATGTTAATGATATCGGAGTTAGAGTGATTAACAAAATCAATGGGGGCCCCCTGGAGGTCAGGGTCCGTGGGCACGTGCCCTGCGTGTCCGGTCGGTGTTCGGCCATGATTACTACAAGTTTAGATAGCTGGCTAGACAAACTTACTCATAAACAAATGTTAGCTGAAATGGCAAATTGAGTGACTGTCATAACAAGAGAAAAACTGCTGATGCACAACAACATTTAGAAATTGCACCTTGTGTATCCTACTACCCTGTGGGGCCTTTAAAAAGCCAAAGCCCCTGGGCCTATCATTTGTTAATCCGGCCCTGGTCAGAAGGACACCGCTCAGGGATTTCACCATGGCCAATGGTGACTTTAAAACAGTTACAGAATTTAATGGCTGTGGTAGGAGAAAACTGAGGATGGATCAACAACATTGTAGTTACTCCACAATACTAACCTAAATGACAGAGTGAAAAGAAGGAAGCCTGTACAGAATACAAATATTCCAAAACATGCATCCTGTTTGCAATAAGGCACTAAAGTAAAACTGCAAAACATGTGGCAAAGAAATTAACTTCATGACCTGAATCCATAGTGTTATGTTTGGGGCAAATCCAACACAACACATTACTGAGTACCACTCTTTATATTTTCAAGCCTGGTGGTGGCTGCATCATGTATGCTTGTCATCGGCAAGTACTAGGGAGTTTTTCAGGATAAAAAGAAACGACATAGAGCTAAGCACAGGCAAAATCCTAGAGGAGCTGGTTCCGTCTGCTTTCCAACAGACACTGGCAGACAAATTCACCTTTCAGCAGGACAATAACCTAAAACACAAGGCCAAATAGACACTGGAGTTGCTTACCAAGAGGACATTGAATGTTCCTGAGTGGCCTAGTTACAGTTTGACTTAAATCAACTTGAAAATCTATGGCAAGACTGAAAATGGATGTCTAGCAATGATCAACAACCAATTTTTTTAAGAATAATGTGCAAATATTGTACAATCCAAGTGTGCAATGCTCTTAGAGACTTAACCAGAAAGACTCACAGCTGTAATCACTGCCAAAGGTCATTCTAACATGTATTGATATATTACTGTTATATTTTTCATATATATTTTTTTCACAAATGTTAAAATGTTTCATCCACTTTGATATTACAGAGTATTTTGTGCAGATCGTTGACAAAAAAAAGACAATAAAAAAAAAGACAATTAAATCCATTTTAATCCCACCTTGTACCACAACAAAATGTGGAAAAAGTAAAGGGGTGTGAATACTTTCTGAAGGCACTGTATATATTCCCATTCATTCATTTCCCTCTCTCCTCTCTCTGTGGATTTTCTCTGTAAGCTGGTGCAATTCCTCCAGGTGACTGCCATAGCAACCAACATCCTGACCATGACCTGCATTACCGTGGAGAGATTCCAGGGTATACTCCACCCACTCCACGTCTGCAACGGCTACTTCCTCTGCCACGCCTGCAAGATGCTTGGTGAGGGGAGGAAGAGTGATAATAATATGGATTGGTTCCAGTGGCAGATAGTTGAGGCAGAATTCGGAGGGCTGGCTGCAATTGAATGAATGGAAATGTATCAAACACATACAGTTGAAGTCGGAAGTTTACATACACCTTAGCCAAATACATTTCAACTCAGTTTTTCACAATTCCTGACATTTAATCCTAGTAAATTTCAAATATAGTCCCCTGTAGCTCAGTTGGTAGAGCATGGCGCTTGCAACACCAGGGTTGTGGGTTCGTTTCCCACGGGGGGGCAGTATAAAAAATGTCATGCACAAAGTTGATGTCCTAACCGACTTGCCAATACGATAGTTTGTTAACAAGAAATTTGTGGAGAGGTTGAAAAACGAGTTTGAATGACTCCAACCTAAGTGTATGTAAACTTCCGACTTCAACTGTATGTTGTGTACAATGAGCCCATCCTCCAATTTAAAGTGACACCAGCCTCCATTGTTGGATTCATGTAACACTTTTCTAGGTTATCACAGTGCTTCAGGCCGGAAAACATAATTGCAGATAATGAATTGGATGACGCTCTTAGGTGGAGGAAGTTGATACTTGACGTAGGTATAAACAGTCTTGTTGCATGCGCTGGATGACTTCTCAACAGGGTTCCCTGTCAGTATTGAAAGTTGTCCTGCCAAAGCACTGCCAATTAATCAATCAAGTTTCAACATCCTTCATCCGGGAGACACTGGTCTGGTTCACACTCAGGTTGTATAACTGATGATTAATGCATTAGAGAAAACGGCTTTGATTAATGTTTACAAAACAATGTGGGCAAAGGGTGAGCGCACACACACACACACACACACACACACACACAAGCCTACTTGTTTCACCTCAGGCCAATTCAAGAACTGGGGAACCTTTATGGTCTATACATGGAAATCCACAGGCTATAGCTGCTCAATCCTCAGAACAGCATGTGATTGATCAACAACAAAGGAGAACATTCACTATCTTTCCAACCCTGATTACATTCATGGTTGTCCCTTCTTGTACTCTGCCCCGCTTTACCCATCAACCACATGGAGCTTTCACAGCAGCAGCGGCATCAAACCAATCTACTGCAGTGTGGCTAAAGCAAATTGCATCCTAGTTATAATTTCCCCTCTGTATCCCTCCACTGCAAGGGCTGTATGGCTGATGGCCCTGACGATCGCAGCCACTATGTGGTTCATCCAGAAAGTGGAGGTAGGTCAGCACAAGTCCCTCTCCAAATGTCAGAAGCGTTATTACATGTGTATGTTTCAAGTTTCAAACTTTATTCGCCACATGCACAGGATACAACAGGTGTAAAACGGAACAGTGACATTCTTACTTGAGATTTCTATCCCAACAATGCAGTGATAATAATACAAATTATAATAATAGCATAGATAATAATAGAAAATAGAATAAAAATGCAAGTATACAGTGCATTTGGAAAGTATTCCGACCCCTTGACTTTTCCCACATTTTGTTACGTTACAGCCTTATTCTAAAATGGATTGAATAGTTTTTTCCCCTCATCAATCTACACACAATACCCCAGAATGACAAAGAGTAAACAGGTTTTATACATTTTTGCAAATGCATTAAAAATAAAAAACTGAAATATCATATTTACATAAGTATTCAGAGCCTTTACTCAGTACTTGGTTGAAGAACCTTTGGCAGTGATTACAGCCTCAAGTGTTCTTGGGTATGACGCTACAAGCTTGGCACACCTGTATTTGGGGAGTTTCTCCCATTCTTCTCTGCAGATCCTCTCAACTCTGTCAGGTTGGATGGGGAGCGTCGCTGCACAGCTATTTTCAGGTCTCTCCAGAGATGTTAGATCGGGTTCAAGTCCGGGCTCTGGCTGGGCCACTCAAGGACATTCAGAGACTTGTCCCGAAGCCACTCCTGTGTTGTCTTGGCTGTGTGCTTAGGGTCGTTGTCCTGTTGGAAGGTGAACCTTCGCCCCAGTCTTAAGTCCTGAGCGCTCCGGAGCAGGTTTTCATGAAGGATCTCTCTGTACTTTGCTCCGTTCATCTTTCCCTCAAACCTGACTAGTCTCTGAGTCCCTGCCGTTGAAAAACATCCCCACAGCATGATGCTGCCACCACTATACTTCCCCGTAGGGATGGTGCCAGGTTTCCTCCAGACGTGACGCTTGGCATTCAGAGTTCAATCTTGGTTTCATCAGACCAGAGAATCTTGTTTAATATGATCTGAGAGTCTTTAGGTGCCTTTTGGCAAACTCTAAGTGGGCTGTCGTGCATTTTTCTGAGGAGTGGCTTCCGTCTGGCCACTCTACCATAAAGGCCTGATTGGTGGAGTGCTGCAGAGATGGTTGTCCTTCTGGAAGGTTCTCCCATCTCAACAGAGGAACTCTGGAGCTCTGTCAGAGTGACTATCGGGTTCTTGGTCACCTCCCTGACCAACGCCCTTCTCCCCCGATTGCTCAGTTTGACCGGGCGGCCAGCTCTAGGAAGGGTCTTGGTGGTTCAAAACTTATTCCATTTAAGAATGACGGAGGCCGCTGTGTTCTTGGGGACCTTCAATGCTGCAGTAATTTTTTTTAGCCTTCCCCAGATCTATGCCTCGACACAATCCTGTCTCGGAGCTCTACGGACAAGTCCATCCACCTCATGGCTTTGTGTTTGCTCTGACATGCACTGTCAACTGTGGGACCTTATATAGACAGGTGTGTGCTTTTCCAATCATGTCCAATCAATTGAATTTACTACAGGTGGACTCCAATCAAGTTGTAGAAACATCTCAAGGATGATTAATGGAAATAGGATGCACCTGAGCTCAATTTCAGGACTCATAGCAAAGGGTCTGAAAACTTTTAGAATAAGGCTGTAATGTTACAAAATGTGGAAAAAGGGAAGGGGTCTGAATACTTTCCGAATGCACTGTATAAATGCAAGTATATTCAATGTGCAAGGGTACTGAAGTGGTTGAGGTGGGTTTATGGGTCTTTCTATAAATAATTGGGTCGATGTGTGACATTGAGATCAACATTTCTAAAAGGTTTGAAACAAAAAATTAAAAGGATTTTCATGCAGTTCCACATGTGTACTTTGAGGAATAAAAGTGAATAAATGCAAATTGGCCCATAACTCCACCTGTTCAACAACATAGACATAGGACTATACATCCTTTAAGCAGGGTTCATACAGACATTGGCAAGTCAAATTCAAGGACTTTCAGGGACTGTTTCAAATACTTAATTGTAATTTTCAAGGACCTCAATGTTAAACAATTGTATAATTTACATAATTGTACATATACACTACCGTTCAAAAGTTTGGGGTCACTTAGAAATGTCATTGTTTTCGAAAGAAAACCAATTATTTTGTCCATTAAAATAACATCAAATTGATCAGAAATACAGTGTAGACATTGTTAATGTTGTAAATGGCTATTGTAGCTGGAAACGGCTGATTTTTTATGGAATATCTACATAGGCGTACATAGGCCCATTATCAGCAACCATCAGTCCTGTGATCCAATGGCATGTTGTGTTTGCTAATCCAAGTTTATCATTTTTAAAGGCTAATTGATCATTAGAAAACCATTTTGCAATTATGTTAGCACAGCTGAAAACTGTTATGCTGATTAAAGAAGCAATAGCCTTCTTGAGACTAGTTGAGTATCTGGAGCATCAGCAATTGTGGGTTCGATTACAGGATCAAATTGTCCAGAAACAAATAACTTTCTTCTGAAACTCGTCAGTCTATTCTTGTTCTGAGAAATGAAGGCTATTCCATGCGAGAAATTGACAAGAAACTGAAGATCTCGTACAACGCTGTGTACAACTCCCTTCACAGAACAGCGCAAACTGGCTATGACCAGAATAGAAAGAGGAGTGGGAGGCCCCGGTGCACAACTGAGCAAGAGGACAAATACATTTGAGTGTCTAGTTTGAGAAACAGGCGCCTCACAGGTCCTCAACTGGTGGCTTCATTAAATAGTACCCGCAAAACACCAGTCTCAACGTCAACAGTGAAGAGGTGACTCCGGGATGCTGACCTTCTAGGCAGAGTTGCAAAGAAAAAGCCATATCTCAGACTAATCTTAATCTTTTCTTTTTTTGGCCAGTCTGGGATATGGCTTTTTCTTTGCGTTGTGCACCGGGGCCTCCCACTCCTCTTTCTATTCTGGTTAGAGCCAGTTTGCGCTGTTCTGTGAAGGGAGTAGTACACAGCGTTGTACGAGATCTTCAGTTTCTTGGCAATTTCTCGCATGGAATAGCCTTCCTTTCTCAGAACAAGAATAGACTGACGAGTTTCAGAAGACATTTCTACGTTTCTGGACATTTTGATCCTGTAATCGAACCCACAATTGCTGATGTTCCAGATACTCAACTAGTCTCAAGAAGGCCAGTTGTATTGCTTCTTTAATCAGCATAACAGTTTTCAGCTGTGCTAACATAATTGCAAAAGGGTTTTCTAATGATCAATTAGCCTAAACTTGTATTAGCAACACAACGTGCCATTGGAACATAGGATTAATGGTTGCTGATAATGGGCCTCTGTACGACTATGTAGATATTCCATAAAAAATCAGACATTTCCAGCTACACTAGCCATTTACAACATGTCAACACTGTACAGATGTCTATACTGTACTTTCTGATCAATTTGCTGTTATTTTAAAGGACAAAAAATTGCTTTTCTTTCGAAAACAATGACATTTCTAAGTGACCCCAAACTTTTGAACGGTAGTGTATGTTCTAATATATACAGTTGAAGTTGGAAGTTTACATACACCTTAGCCAAATACATTTAAACTCAGTTTTTCACAATTCCTGACTTTTAATCCTAGTAAAAATGCCCTGTTTTAGGTCAGTTAGGATCAGCACTTTATTTTAAGAATGTGAAATGTCAGAATAATAATAGAGAGAATGATTTATTTAGGCTTTTATTTCTTTCATCACATTCCCAGTGGGACAGAAGTTTACATACACTCAATTAGTATTTGGTAGCATTGCCTTTAAATTGTTTAACTTGGGTCAAACGTTTCTGGTAGCCTTCCACAAGCTTCCCACAATAAGTTGGCTGAATTTTGGCCCATTCCTCCTGACAGAGCTGGTGTAACGGAGTCAGGTTTGTAGGCCTCCTTGCTCGCACACGCTTTTTCAGTTCTGCCCAAACATTTTCTACAGGATTGAGGTATGGCTTTGTGATGGCCACTCCAATATCTTGACTTTGTTGTCCTTAAGCCATTTTGCCACAACTTTGGAAGTATGCTTGGGGTCATTGTCCATTTGGAAGACCCATTTGCTACCAAGCTTTAATTTCCTGACTGATGTCTTGAGATGTTGCTTCAATATATACACATAATTTTCCTTCCTCATGATGCCATCTATTTTGTGAAGTGCACCAGTCCCTCCTGCAGCAAAGCACCCCTACAGCATGATGCTGCCACCCCCGTGCTTCACGGTTGGGATGGTGTTCTTCGGCTTGCATGCGACCCCCTTTTTCCTCCAAACAGAACGATGGTCATTATGGCCAAACAGTTCTATTTTTGTTTCATCAGACCAGAGGACATCTTTGTCCCCATGTGCAGTTGCAAACCGTAGTCTGGCTTTTTATGGCGGTTTTGGAGCAGTGGCTTCTTCATTGCTGAGTGGCCTTTCAGGTTATGTCGATATATGACTCGTTTTACTGTGGATATAGATACATTTGTACCTGTTTCCTCCAGCATCTTCTCAAGGTCCTTTGCTGTTGTTCTGGGATTGATTTACACCAAAGTACGTTAATCTCTAGGAGACAGAATGTGTCTCCTTCCTGAGCGGTATGACAGCTGCGTGGTCCCATGGTGTTTGTACTTGCGTACTATTGTTTGTACAGATGAACGTGGTACCTTCAGGCATTTGGAAATTGCTCCCAAGGATGAACCAGACTTGTGGAGGTCTACAATTTTTTTTCTGAGGTCTTGGCTGATTTGTTTTGATTTCCCCATGATGTCAAGCAAAGAGACACTGAGTTTGAAGGTAGGCCTTGAAATACATCCACAGGTACACCTCCAATTGACTCAAATTAAGTCAATTAGCCTATCAGAAGCTTCTAAAGCCATGACATCATATTCTGGAATTTTACAAGCTGTTTAAAGGCACAGTCAACTTAGTGTATGTAAACTTCTGACCCACTGGAATTGTGATACAGTGAATTATAAGTGAAATAATAGTCTGGAAACAATTGTTGGAAAAATGTACTTGTGTCATGCACAAAGTAGATGTCCTAACCGACTTGCCAAAACTATAGTTTGTTAACAAGAAATTTGTGGAGAGGTTGAAAAACTGGTTTTATTGATTCCAACCCAAATGTATGTAAACTTCCGACTTCAACCGTAACCCCCCCCCCCCCCACCACATATGCAAAAAGTGTCAAAAAGTAGGCCATTATCACTTTAAGAATATTCCTTTTTTTATTCAAATGTTTATTACATTCTAATATATGTGAGGATAATGTGGACAATGCCTGACTAAATAGACTGTATGCATGGCAATTTTTCTCTAGCCAATGTGGCTGACACAGGCACATGTAATAAAGCAATGAATGGTGGTAGCATGAATCTCACCATTTGAATCTCACATTGCTATTTTTATCATGAGAAAGTGACCAAAACCAGGTTCCTTTTTTAATGGAAGGATTTGTATGGAAAGCCAAGTTGAAGCCAACATTAGATGTTGCCGTCCTCATAATAACCGCACATGGTTTTTAAGCAAAAGAGTAGTGCAACGCTTTCAATTGAAGCGGAGGGAAACAAACAAAAGTAGCCACATCTCTCACAAAAACGGATTAAAATGTAAATCACATAAGGGAGCAGGAGAACGTATAAATGATTACAATAACTTTTCAAGCACCAAATCTTCAAGGTAGGCCAGTGAATTTCGGAGCTCCAAATGTAAGATCAAGTAGGCTACTTGTATTGTTTAAAATTGCAGGTCTAACATAGAAAACAAAATGTATTTGTAATGTTATTTCATTACCAGATCACAGTCTGAATAAGCCCACTAGACTGTCATTTGTTTTCGTTATACCCAGAATAACAAATAGGAATAGTGTTGTGTGTTGCGCAATAGTCTATCCTGCACAGTAGACTCGGTGTCCAATCCAAAGCACAAAAACATATGAAAACATGAACTCATTAACTTGATGCTTTCTCTGTTAAATCTAACGAGACCTTGCTGTAAATCAAGCAGACAACAACAGACGATCAACATCAATTTGCTAGGGATATTAGATCCAACATTGATCCAGGCACAACTGTCTTTTTTTCAGCACTTGGGCTGTTGTTGCATCGAATGCTATCACACAGCTGTTCGTCGCTTGACTGTCATTCTGAAAATTTCTTCCTGGATCAGAAGATGATGTGTGAAAATATCACGGTGTAATTAATCAAATGGACACCAAATGCGTATTCAACAAGTATTATGCATAATCAGTGACGAATTTAGCATGTCAATCTCGGTGGGACAAAAAATACAAATAATTTGATGCATGCCAGCAAAGCCACTACACTACACTACACAACACTAAACAATACATTAATTGCACTATAACGGTGCCCACAAACTGTTAGGGCCTACATAAAGCTGTCCCAACAGCAGAGCTTTCTTTTCAGCACCATGGAGTGAATCATTACCACGGCTACACCTGGCTATAAGCGGGGCCTTGTCTGGCAGCGAAACAGTTCATTCAGCCTCATTTACTGCCTTTAAAAAAAAAACATAGCTGATATGGCTGACTTGCTTAAACAAATGTGGTTTCTACTGACAATTGAATGTACAAACTATGGCATAAGGGAACGATGAACGGATAAGAGGCAATCCGTAATTTCGATTAAGACATTAATGAGCGAGCTAAGACGGACCTAGTCAATATAACTATTTGTTCAGCACTTTTGAAATGTACAGAGACAGAATTCAGAACATGGGCCGTTCTTACAGTATTCTCCCTGTACACCAAGTCAGAACCGTAGGATAAATAAAGGGGGCATATAAGCAGACAATGAAAGCTCTTACAATATTCGATGATGAGATTTCTCTTAAACAGGCTATAGGCTACATGTGCACCACCAAGTCAGAACAGTAGGCTAAGTTATGATGGGGAAAGGGAGCAAATTATTACAATGAGGCACATGGGCTACTAACAGCTTACTGCACAACATACACTTAGTATTATTTCTTAGCTACAGTATAGATATCTCCCTGGCATGTTACATAATTTATGCAGCAGCACACAATACATTTTTGGACTCATCTTTTTGTGCTGTGCTCACTTGAACAGCACGGTGGCGCGGCGGTCGTTCTTGTGTGCAAATTTTGTCATCAAACCTAGTGATCGAATCATGATGTCAGTGATATTCAGGTCGGAGATCTAGAAAGACGCCCGAGTTCCCGACTTAGAATTCCAATCACGGCGCAACTAGAGAACTGTTACAGGAGGGGGTCGCAGTTCAGGAGCGACCCACTAGGTGTCATCCTCCGACAACCTTAGGCACCTCCTCACTCACAGTCTGGACTAATCATTATCTTATGGGTGTCACCTGTGTCCACCTGTTCACCTTTGTATTTATGCCCTCACTTCCCTGTGTTCACTTTTTTCTGCTAGTTCTCGATGCCAAACAGTACAAATCAGTGTCTGATCGCGAGACGTCTGTACAGGTACTTGAGAAGTGTTCTCCCTGTTTCATTGTTGTTTTCAGTCATAGTTTTTCGTATGTTTGCTGTCAGCCTGTTTTTGGAGACCAATTTGCTCCTCCTATATTTGTTGGTGACAAGCCCGTTATTTTGTATCCTAGTTTTGGGACCACCAGTAAAGATCCTTGTTTCACCATCTCTGTCTACTGCCTACTGTCTATCCTGCACCGGACCTGGGTCACACCTCCCACCAACCCTTACAGGAAACAGAGACAATATGGACCCAGCGGAGGCAGCACAGTATCACAGCGCATTGGCAATGCAGGGAGCTATGCTGAACCAGCACGACCGCAGTCTGCAGCTGATCACCGAGAATCTCCGCCAGCTGACGATTGCCGTGCAGAGCCGGGTGGACACCCGACCAGCGCCGGCAGCCGGTGGAGTAGAAGCCGCGGCAGCGGCGTCTCCAGACACGCCTGCGACATCGCGGGAACCCCGCCTACCACCTCATGGAGAGGTACGACGGACAACCAGTGGGCTGCAGGGAATTCCACACCCAGTGTTCCCTGGTATTCAGCCTAAAACCCTCCTCCTTCCCGACGGAGCAGGGCCGGGTGGCCTACATTATCACTCTGTTGACGGGTCGGGCCCTTTCCTGGGCTACCGCGGAGTGGGAGAGCTAAACTACGGCGTGCTCCGACTACTAACAATTCAACCGGGAGCTACGCAAGGTGTTCGACACTTCTCAGGTGGTCTCGGGGCACGAGGCCGGGAGGCGGCTCAATGCCTGTCGGCAGGGTGACTGTTCGGTGGCGGACTACTCCGTGGAGTTCCGGATCCGGGCTCGAGAGGCAGGATGGGAGGAGGCCCCCTGGTCGTCCTTTACGTGCAGGGGCTATCGGAGGGGATGAAGGACGAACTCTCCTTCAGAGAGCTGCCTGAGTGACTGGATGGCCTCGTCGACCTCTCGGTGCAGGTAGACAATTGCCGTCGTGAGAGGGCGCACGAGAGAGGGATGACGCAAGGAGCGCTTGTCCAGGATGGAGAAGCAGAGATGTCTGTGCCAGGGACGTTGCCTGTACTGCGGCCAGGCAAGTTACCACTGTGACTCATGCCCGGAGAAGCCTGGAAACTGGAGGGTTCAATGTTATCGGGAGGGGTGCTAGCAAGCCGGAACCGAAACCCCAACCCCAGAGACTCCCGGACTTTTCTCCCCGTCAGGGTTCATTGGGCCCGCGCTGCACGTCGGGCGCATTCACTGGTGGATTCAAGGGCCACGGGAAACCTGATGGATGCGGGGCTGGCCCAAGGGTGGAGCATTCCGTTACTCTCCCTCTCCGAGTCAGTTCTGGTCATGGGCCTGGACGGCCGGCCGTTGGGGTCAGGCTTCATCACCCAGCGCACTGTCCTCGTGCGTGTCTAGGTGGCAGGGGGGGATATCCAGTTTTTCATTGTGGACTCTCCGCAGTGTCCCTTCATCCTCGGGCACCCCGGGCTGGTCGCACACAAACCCCAGATAGACTGCTCCATAGGGCGGCTCATCCTGGAGGGAGGCTCTGCCTCCGTCCTGTTCCGGTCTCCACCGACCACTCATCAGCCCAAACTACTGTCCAAGACCACCTACCTGTCCTCACCTCTTCCCCAGGTGGCTACAGAGGACGGTGGCTACAGACTCCCTCACCGGCCCAGACCTGGCAGGCATTCCCCGGGAGTATTGGGATCTGGGGGAGGTGTTCAGTAAGAGGAGGGCCAAGGGCCTACCTCCTCACAGCCATTACGACGTGGGGAACTGTGAGCTGCTAGCGGTCAAGCTCACCCTGGGGGAGTGGAGGCATTGGCTAGAGGGGGCCGCCCATCCATTCGTTGTATGGACTGACCATAAGAACTTAGCCTACATTCAGGGGGCCAAGAGGCTCAACTCGCGTCAGGCCAGGTGGGCATTGTTCTTCACCAGGTTCCAGTTCACGATCTCATACCGTCCGGGGTCGAAGAACACCAAGCCTGACGTGCTCTCCCGGCAGTTCCCGTGGACCTGGTGGAGAGGGACGATCCCATTGTCCCAACGCCCTGATTGCTGCCCCAGTTTCGTGTGGAATCGATAGGCTGGTCAGAGCAGCACGACGGCGGGCGGAGGTCCATCGGGGAGGATGTACGTACCCAAGGCTCCGCGCTCGCGACTGCTTCAGTGGGCGCATGCGTCTGACCTCACCAGGAATCCGAGGGGCACCAGGACTTTGGAATTCCTGCGTAGGAGGTTCTGGTGGCCATCAGCTGAGGGGGATACGCGCGCTTTCGTGGCTGCTTGCCCGGTGTGCGCGCGCACGAAGAGCTCACGTCAGCTCGCGGCAGGGCTGCTCCGACCCCTGCCTATCCCCAAGCACCCTTGGTCCCTTATCTCGCTGGATTTCATTTCCGCCCTACCCCACTCTGATGGATACACTGTCATCCTGGGCGTTGTGGACCGGTTTTTGAAGGCTGCCCACCTCATTCCCCTTCTCAAACTCCCGTCAGCCCGGGAGATGGCTAATTTGGTGGTACAGCACGTTTTCTGTGTCCACGACCTTCCCCAAGACGTGGTGTCGGATCGGGGTCCTCAGTTCGCCTCCAGGTTCTGGAAGGCGTTCGCCACCTGCCTCGGCGCCTCCGTCAGCTTGTCTTCCGGCTTCCATCCCCAGTCGAACGGGCAGACGGAGCGTGTCAACCAGGATCTGGAGGGGGTGCTGAGGTACTACGCCGCCAGCAACCCAGCTACGTTGAGTCAGCGACTGGCGTGGGCGGAGTACGCCCACAACACCCTTTTCTGCTCGTCCACCGGCCTGTCCTTCTTCCAGTGCCAATACGGATCCCGTTGGTCCAGGCCCACATCAGTCGCTGTCGCCGCACCTGGAGGCAGGTACAGGCAGCGCTTAAGCAGGCCTCGGCCAGGTCTCAACATCAGGCCAAAGCTGTCATCAAGGCAAAGGGTGGCTATTTGAAGAAACTCAAATATAAAATATATTTTCATTTGTTTAGCACTTTTTTGGTTACTGCATGATTCCATATGTGTTATTTCATAGTTTTGACATCTTCACTATTATTCTACAATGTAGAAAATAGTAAAAATAAAGAAAAGCCCTTGAATGAGTAGGTTTGTCCAAACTTTTGACTGGTACAGTATATATGTTTGTTTTTTTTGTCTTTTTTTTTAGCTAAACAGGTGGGCTCATAACCCTGAATGACGGGTCACCACTGTGCATAATTATTGAATAACCACATAAATGACAGTATCGATTTAGGTTTTAATTAGTATTAAGGTAAGGTCACTCTTTCAGTTAAAAGCATTTTGATTTTGCAATGCATACATTATTTTGGATTTGTTTGCCCATGAAAACTGTTTTCACCCTGTAACATAAGGAGACACAACATGTTACGAAGTTACACTTTATTTCTGAGATCTCTATGCAAAAAACTGTCAGACATCTAGATACAGGATTTTTACAGGGTTCAAGTTCAATGTCTAATTCAACTGATTAATGCTTAATATATGATATAACGACAATTTACACTGCCATAAAAGCAAGGACAGAAAAGTAATGTTTTATGTCACACGATTTTAGACAAATCCATCAAGACACCAACTATGATAAAGGATTAAACATAGGTCTAAAATCAACTCGTGAATTTTATTGAATATAGCTATGATCCCCCTTATATCATAATGTAAGGACATGAATAAAATTGGCAGATTATTATCAATGACTTATCAACAGCTGTAACATGCTGTCCAGTGTAGGAAATCCTCACTGTTACCCTAGTTTATAGAAAGACCCTTATACATAAAGATTGACTGGTACGGTGGTTGGATATACATGTAAACAGGGCTGAAAAGTGACTGGTAGCAGGATATATAAGTACTTATGGTAATATACTAATTATAATATAGTGACCAGTAGCAGGATAAAATAGATAGCTTCTAATGATAATGGCAATCAATAATCAATGAACAGCAGCATAATAGTAATAATAAATCTAATCAATAATCATTTTAGCAGCAGCGTAGGTGTGAGGAAGTGTGTGTGTGTGAGTGTGTGTATGCGTGTGAGTAAAAATGACAGTGAAGGTGTGTGTGTCAGAGTGGGTAGAGACCTGTGGATGGGCATAGAGTCAGTATGTCTGTGGGAGAGGGAGAGCAGTAGTTGTTAGCCATTTAACAGTCTCATGGCCAGGGGATAGAAGCTGTTTAGGAGTCTGTTGGTCTGAGCCTTGATGCACCGGGGTACCACCTGCTGGACGGGAGCATGGAGCATAGTCCATGTCTCGGGTGGCTGGAGTCTTTGGCAATTGTCCGGGCCTTTCTCAGACACCGCCTGGCATGTATGTCCTGGATTGCTAGGAGCTTGCCCCAGTGATGCGCTGGGCCATCCGCACCACACTCTGTAGGGCCTTCCGGTCGAGGACGGTGCAGTTGCCATACCAGACAGTGATACTACCAGTCAGAATGCTCTAGATAGTGCAGCTGTAAAAGTTCCTGCGTATCTGAGTACTGTGTACTTCCTGTTTGAGCTTCTGTTTGTAAACAGGAAGTAGGAGTATTGAGTCATGATCTGATTTGCCGAACAGGGGATGAGGGAGGGCCTTGTATGCTTGCTTGTGGGTTGAGTAACATTGGTCCAGGACATTATCGCCCCTAGTGGCGAAGGAGACATGTTGATAGAAGTTGGACATGGAATTAAAATCATGGCAACAAGAAAAGCAGCCTCTGGGTGGATGGTTTCCTGCTTGTTTATAGCCTCGTACAGATCGCTAAGTGCCAGCTTGTTGTTTTTGTTGTCCTGAGGTGGAATATATACAGCAGTCAAGCAATGTTCGCTCAATTGTTTTCCGCTACTGAGCAAATTTCAGGTCTGCTGAGTGCAAACTTGAACGTTGTGAAAATTCTGTGCAACTTCCAGCGCACGTTTCCTGTGAACAGTGAGGCTGTATCCGCTTTAAGCTACAGTTTTAACAGTGGCCAAGTAGGCTACTGTGGCTATTTGATCATAATGTAGGCCTACGAGAGTGGCCTACCATCAAAAACAATGGAGAAAATGCATCCCATAACATTTTAACATGGAAATAGCTGTTCTATCATTCAGCTTACAGTAGCAGGCAATGTGTGGTGTTCAATTTATGCCTACATTGAGACTCTTGAAAAACATGCAGTGCTTGACATGAACCTGTTCATCCACTTGTCCTTCAGACAAGGAGGTGACTGAAAATGTTGTTGTGTTGTTTGATGCAAGAAACCACTTTACAAAATAAAATGCATTATTATTCCCATACCATTATCACAGAGAATCAGACAAATTCTGCTACCCTCTTCCTATTGGCTACTTAGCTTATTCAAACCTGTCTCAAAATACAACACTGCCCCATTAAGACAAAACAATCTCTTTACCTGACCCACTTTTCAAAGATGTCTAGAAGTGTACACGTTTTGTGCTCTTGTAGGAAGTAATCACTCCCCTATTGCTGACTACAAATGATATATAACTGGGATAATAACTCACTAACAAGCAAAGGATGTTAACAAAATGTGCACGTGGCTACATGCAGCTCTTGCTTTGATCTCAAAACAAGCACATCTACTCACGACCACAGCTTTAAACACAGTCCAGTTCAAAGTAAATGGCACAGATGCATATATGGCAATGGTCTATTTGCATATTGGCCTACTACAGCTCTGATTGGCTATGCCGAAACGGTCTGTGTAGAGTATGGGCTGAGTCGTGCGCAATAGAATCCTACTCCTATGCATTCTGCCTACAACAACATTTCTTACATAGTTAGTTTTCTTTCGGTATGTTGCATTGAAAGTGGCTAATATTGCGTCGATTCGATCACAATTGCCACAGAAAAGGGAAACGTTGACAGTGTTAACTAACAGGGAAAATGCTAGAAAGTTGAGCGAAGTTCAATCTTGTGCTT